TATGCTTAATCTGAGAATCATGGCTTATTTTGTTTAAAGAGAACAGCAGCATTTCTGCTACATTAATATAAATCTTATTAGCACTACACGCACTAGATGCTGTTTATCAATGTTTAAAGCATCACTGGCTCTGATCAATCTGGAATTAGGACTTTTTTACACTTTGAAAAGGTTTGCATTTGAACTAACCAGCACCTAAGACAGAAGGTAAATATGTTCCTATTTAACCAAATATAGTCTAAATATGTCTGTTAGATGTGGATTTATCCTGTTTTTTTACTTTGAAGAGATAGAATTGTGCAGAAGTAAACCCACTCTTATTTTTTTATCTAATCTGCTCTCTCTGTATCATGCAAAATAATACATTAAAGGGACGGTAAATAAATGTATTTAAATGAGCACTGGAACTATAAGAGGAACTGACACTGAGCATTTAAAATATTAACTTCACTATACAAGTTGTACATCTGGGCTGTAGTTAGTCTGTCGCCCATTTCATGTATTTTATCTATGGATAAAACAATTAATCATATTAATCGATTATTTAAATAATCACCAACTAATTTAGTCATTGATTAATCATAAACTGGAATATAGAGCCACTAAAATGTGCCTTTAGCCGACAGAGCAGGAATTATACCAAGATGGTAAAAAATATGTAAACATTTTGCATTTAAGATTAAAAAAAAAGTTTTTGTCTTTCAATATTCTCCATCCAGAAGTCCTAAAGAGGAAAAGTTTCTGTTTCACCTGATTTCATTTAGTAAAAACATCTTCTTTTAGGAACATTTGTGTATCTGATTATTGATCGATTCATCGGAAAAAAAAAAAAATCGACAGATTAATCAATTTGCAGAATAATCATTAGTTTCAGCCCTAATTTTATGGTAACTTTCCAAACACATTTCTTCCATCATGCAGCAGCTGCTTCCCCCTGAGGCTGCCCTGCTGCATTATATCTGTTTCCTACAATCATATAATGTTTCTATTATTAAAGTGTGTTTTTAATAGTAAAGGATTAAATATAACACAACCTTTTATCATCTTCCTATATTGCTTACTGTCTGATTGTTTAAATAGCTCCTTATGCAACAACTACTGCTGTATAGTACATTATAAACATGTTGAAGGACCTTTTAGTTCTAGTTGAGCATTTCGTTTGACCCATTCTAGTTTCTAACATCCTTCTTAGGATGAGCTCACAGGTTTTACTGTCAGATTAAGACAGATTATTTCCCTGCTCCGTTCATCTCTAATACTTAAAATAAACCAAAAAGCTTCTGTCAGACGGTGAAAACATCAAAGTTAGTTCAGTTAAATATGTGCAGAATCAGGATCCATTAGAAGAGAAATCACCTTTAATAAAAGGTTTAGTTATTTCATCTGCACTGATCATTTTTCTGCAGACATCAGGATTTATTGCAGCTCCGCTTCTGCAGGAAGAGCTGCAAACAGATCAGGAAGCAGGTTGTTAGGAGGTTTGTTTAGGTTCAAATTATAAGGAAAAGAAAAACCAGAGAGATTTAAAAACTCTGATTATCTCTCTCTCTGTTTGGGTTAAATTTATTTTTTAAATTATGGGATTTTAAATAAACATTTAAGACTACAATAATTATCTTCTTACTCTAAGCTTAGCAAAACTGGAATAGTTTGTAGTTAACATCATAAAAAATAAAACAAAATAAAATCTCCATGTGACGTTTGTTATTCAGAACAAGTTTAGCTCCATGTTTTACATAAAGACATTTAAATTAGAAGTCAGGAAAAATCAAAGTCTAATTTAATTCCAGCTAAAGTATAATTTCTAGGACAGAGTAACCAAGGCCTAAAGTTATTTAATAAAAGGAAAATTAGCTTTGGTTTAAAATAGAAGAGGATAAAATGGAAACATGGAGTCATTAAAGTTTAAGTCGGAGGTAAAATAAAAGCTAAAAAATAAAGACAAATTTTTTTATTTGAAATAAAAAAGCGACGCGCCATGAAGTTGAATCAGAATCACTTTATTAATCCTTTCTTTAGAGTCCATGATTATTTTTCTCTCATTTTTTCTAACCTGTTTATTATTAATCTTTTTTTTTTTTTTTTTACATTTAAAGAATAACTGAGAAAAAGTTGATGGATTTCCTAAAGGCTGAGGTCCAGCTTCTAGTTTTGTTGTTGTTTAGATGTTTATGTGACATTTAAGTTTAAATAAACCCTGAGGAGCCAATAAAGGACTGAACTGTTCATGCATGTCGACTCTGCTGTTGATTTTTCTCTCTTATTTTAGCAATTCACTAAAACAAGATAGAAAAAATAAAATAAAATAAAGAAAAAAATGTCAGCTTTTCTTTTTTAAAAAAAACTAACAATTACAATAAAAGATTTTTTCTTTTTTTATAGGAATAAAAGTTCAGAAATCAGTGAAAAAATCAAGTTTTTAAAATCAGATTAAATTCAGCTGCTTCTAAAGAAGCATGAAGGAGGAAATATAGTTATTTTAAAAAAAATATTTAAAAACATTAATGCAAATATCCACATTTATTTTTTTTACATTTATTTAATATTATTAGATAATTTAAGTTTTTTCATCAATGGTTTCTTTTCATTAAATTACTGACATGTTTACAGAAATGTTTGTTGTTTTAAGGCCGGTTTTAAAGGGGAGATAAACTCTGCCTTTTGGAGCAAAAACTCTCCAATCTGTAGTTTTTCTCCTTTACTTTTAATTCTTCATCCTACATTTCTTGGCCTTCTATTAAAAAGAAACGTTTCCGAATTTTGGTGAATTAATTCCGCAGCGAATTTATGTTTAAAACAGTTTATCTGGTTGTTTTTCTGCATATTTAGGAGCAGATTAGATTTTCCTAAAACAAAAACATCCTGAAAGTGACGCGAAGATGAAAATAATCTGGAAGTTTTTGGTCTACAAATCTTTTTCTCTCTAGTTGTGACGTTAGAAGAACAAGCAGCGCGTGGCTCCAAGTGGCCCCTCCACGCGTGGAGCCCCGCTCCTCTACAACACGCAGAAAATGGCTTTTGTTGCGTTCGAGTACCGTCGGAAATCTGGCTGTTAAATTGGAGAAATGTTTCGCACGGAAATGAATCTGTAAATAAATGCCTGTGATTTGTTATTTTAATCTAAGGAAATAAATAGTTAGTCGGCCCTAAAGCAACAGAACCACATAGAACTGACAACTTTTGTAGATTTAAACCACGTAAAAAAAAAAAGTAAATATTCCTTTTTTTTTTTAATTTTTTTAAAAACAATCAATAAATTAGGTGGGCTTATTCTATACATATATAAATGTGTTAGGTTAAACATATATAAATTTGTTTCTTTAATGAGATAATGTTATTTTATTGTATTTATTCATTTATATTTTAAATGTGAACATGTCTATAGAGGATCTCTCACAAAAATACAAACGGCCTGAAATCGGAAACAAGTTAAAGAAGCAGCACTTGAACGCATCATCGCCCCCCCACTCCATGCACATTGACACTGCGGGCTTATAGGGGGTTGATGTTGGGCCTGAGGGGGGGTGCAGGGGTCGCAGGCAGGGCGGTGAGGAAACGAGCTGATGTGCCCTGGAAGTAATCACCCCCCCCCCCCCCCCCCCCCAAACAGCAGATATGTTACAAAAACAAGGTGGGAGAAACCACTTCAGCTGGAGCATGGGGGGCAGAAATATTGCTCTTCCTCCATGTTGTTTTTACTTTCACTTTATTATTATTATTAAAAAAACAACATAAAATATAAAGTGATAACTGGTTCAGTTTGCTCTTAAAAACATCCTTAAAATGCAGGAGATATAATAGAATTAAATTAAAATAAAGAATAGAACACAGCATCTCTTTTTGAAATAAATTGATAAAAGATTCTGTGTAAAACTCTTTATGCCAAAAAGAAATAAATATTAGAAAAAACGATGTAATTTATTGGTATTTATTTAAGTCTAACTGAGGCATTTTTGAGAGACAAAAAGAAGTTATTTTAATAGTTTGTTATATTAGCTTTTAAAAAATATTCAAATAAGAAATAAATTAAATATATGATTATAATTTAAAATAATGACTGACAAAGAAATATAAATGCTAAGACCAGAAAAAACAAATGACCTCATTCATTATTTTAGGAACATGTTTTATTAATGTGTTTTTTTCATTAGAAACATGTCATAAAAAAAAAAATATATATATATATTTTTTTCCAAATATTATTGATTTTTGCCCCTAAATTCCTGTCCCATAGTTTTCTATGTCAGAAAAAAAAGGTAATAAAACAAATCTATGTATCTACATTAGAGTAGACTTTATCCTTTAAAAATAATTAATTCCCTTTTTTTAAATCTTAGCGTTTACAGAAGCGTTGACGTCATGTTTGTCAGAATCTGACTCAGTTTCTTGTTTCTTTTTGCTCCTGATTTTTGTTTTTATTTTGTTTAAGCATTAAATGAGAATCAAATCTACAATAACTTATTTAAATCTATTATTTTGTGCAGGAAGCTGCAGGAATCCAGTTAAAGCTGCTGTGACCAGGCTAACTAGTTAGCAACCAAAGCTAATAATCACTTCCTCTGTTTTGGATAAATTCAAAGCTGATATTTACTAACAGATAAATTACTAAGTTATTATTTGGTTAAACAGGATTTAATCAGAGAATCAGTGGAAATGAGGCGTTTATTGGCAGCTCATTTTCAGGCGCCATATTGAATTTTCAGGTTGAGGTTGGTGACTTTCCTGCTTCAGATTCCTTTCATGTTTGATTTAATATCTTGGAAGAAAAATAATTGAGAGAAAAGTTGAAACTAGGAAGCAGTTTTAAAGGAAAAACAAATAAAATCAGTGGAATAAGAAAAAAAGAATCTTTGTTGTTGTTGTTGTGAAGCAGGTGTTTAATGTGGCTCCCAGTTTGCAGCTGAAGCACCAGTAAGCTTTCGCTGCTGGGACTGGTTCCAAAAAAAAAAGTTTGTGAAAGTGGTGTGACGTCACGCTCCCACAATGCTCACCGCCCCATAACTCCGCTGCAGCCTGAGAGGCAGAGCAGCAGAGAGTCGGGCCTCGGATACAGAGAAAAACCCGCAGCGGACACTTTAGAAAAGTCTCCAAAGTGGATCAAACGGACGCGGCGGCAGCGGGACGCAGGAGGAGCCGCGGCGGCAGAGAGCGAGCAGGACGGCGGGCAGCGGAGGCTGGAACTCACCGGGACTTCCAGGCCAACTGACTAATGCGCTGCTGGAAACTTTTCGGTGGGTAAACTGCTCTTTTCTCTCTCTTCTCTAACGCAGCCGCGCGTCCCCCACGCGCGTGTGCGGCTTTGAGGTGAAGTGACGCACGGGAGGCTGTGGACACCGTGTTACGGAGCCACGGCCGCGCAGTTTGAGCAGACTACTGGGAGCCACGGCGGCCCAGCGCCGCGTGGTTCTGGGCGGTTTGCTGGGTCGGAACCAGCCGGGGAATATTTGGGAGGTATGCGCTGCAGAGGCGCTGCAGAGGACTGGAGCGGCGCGGCGATGCGCGGCGCGGCGCGGCGCGGCGCACGTCCTGTTGTTTGTGTTGCTTTAGTCCAGAGGAGAAAAGTTAGTCTCTGACTGAAGCTCAGTCTTTATGCCATCAGGTCACATTCAGGCTTTAATCCCAAACTTTCAGGCGATCATTCTCTGGGTTTCATGCTTCTGATCAGAGGTTCTGAAAAGCTTTTCGCTCTGCAGGAGAGTAAACAACAAGCAGGAGCCTTCCAAAAAAAAAAAAAAAAAGAGAAAATGGGGGAAGGGGTTGTTGGGTTCATGATGTGTGGGCTCAGTTTGTGCACTTGTTGCTGTTTTTGCTGCAGGGTTTGTTTCTACTTGAGTGTGAAAAAGAAGCTGCGCTGATCTGTGCGGGTTTTTGCTGCTGCCGCACATGAGTTTGGCTGCTGGGCTTCATTAGCACATTTCCTCTGCCGCAAACAGCCTGAACTCGATCTGAACTTTGCCTCATTTCAGGTGTTTTCATGGCATCAGCGCCAATCACACATCCTGGGATTGGGAAGGAAAGCCAATCTATGCCACACACATCTATGCCTTCACTGTCTGTCAATAACAAACTGCTGCCTTCTGCTAAACTCATTTAAAGTTTCAATTAGGGCTGAAAATAACCAATAATTTACACATTATTAATCTGTCGATTCATTTGATTAATTATCAAATAACCAAAAGTTCCTTAAAGAAGAATGTTTAGGAAATCAAACTAAAACTTTTCCACTTGAGGAGTTCTGGATGGAGCAGATTGACAGAAGAAAAAGTTTTAATCTTAAATGTAAAATGTTAATATATTATTTTCCAATCTTGGTATAATTGCTGCTCTAAGTGAGTCACTCTGTCAGGTTTTACAGCCTTTATACTCCAGTTAATGATTAATTGATTACTACATTGTTTTATAATTATTTCAATAATCAATCACAATTAATAGTTTCAGCCCTGGTTTTAATAAAACAGAAAATCAAATTCTAAGAGCTGGGATTTTATTTAAATATAACTAAGTAGATTTTCACATTTTTAATATCTTTCCTCATTTTGGGTTTTTTTTTTTTTTGTTTAATTATTTTAGGGATTTTTTTTAGAAATGTTAAATTTAATGAATAATTAAAAAAAGCAATTAAAAGTTGGTTTTATTTTAGCAAATGAAAGTAAAATATTTAAATCCTTAACATTTATGTATCCCAATTGGACAATTTTTCTTCATGTAATCAGATTAATTTTTCTGTGTTGATGAATTATTTCAAATTAAAAACTCACCATCTTTGTTTTTAGTTGAATAAAATAAGATGAATATTAGAGAAGTAAGAATAAATGCATAAACCCTTCATTCTTTGCTGGATTTAAAACAATCTGCTGCAGGTTTTTTACTTGATAGAAAATCACCTGCAGGTGAAGATCAGCTGAACGGAACCAAAAGGCCTGAATGCATCACAGATATTTATTAAATAGATTGGCTCAGAACAGTTTGTTGTTCTCTGGATTTATCCCTGGTGTTTCTGAAAGGCCCCACATGTAAAACAGATCTAAGCTGCAGCTTCTCCTATTTAAACCAAGAAGGAAACATTTGGATTTTCACTTTTCATCTTTCAGTTCATCTTTAATATTCAGAGAAAGTTTTATTTTTAGGGCCTTTTCCTGGAATTAAAACTGCAGCAAAGTTTGAAAAAGTTCCACCTTTTAAAAGCTGTTAAAAAGCTTCATTTTTTCATCTGCAGGGTGGATAAAATGTCACAGCTTCACCCGCCCCCCACCAGTGGCTGCACACTGCCTGTCTGCTGGCTGAAAAAAATGTTCTGCACCGTTAAAAAAAAAGAAAAAGCAATATTTTTAGCTTTGGGAGATTTCTGTTCATGAAACAGTCAGTAAATGGATGGTTTAAAAGTCCAGCCTGTCAGCCTGCGTCTCCACTCCACATGTTTCACAACATTCAGGAACAATTTATAGCAAATGTTCTAGATTATGATTTTATGTTAATTTTTTTTAATTAAAGCATTTGGATTTTTTTTTATGTCATTTAACCCTTTATAGGGCAAGTTAGTTGCATACCCCCGGTCTAGAAGCACTAGATCTATATCCATCTATTCAGCAAAGATCCTGCTACATGGCTGCACAGCTTATTTTGGCGTTTGACCAATTAGATGATCCTTAAATGATAGATTATCTACTGGAAATTAAGTTGAAAAAACAAAGTCAAGAAAAAAGGTAAAAAGCTAATTGAAAAGTTAAAAAGTTTAAAGTTAATAAGCCTAGTTAACAATTATATTTAGGTTGAAAAACCGAAAAATGAAAGTGCCAGTATCAGCAGTAATGCCTGTAAGTAGGGATGCAGGATATAATGGGCCCCCTATCGGTATCGGCCTTAAAACTGAATATCGGACATCGGCCACCCCACCGATATTTAACCCGATATTTGATCAGCTTCTAAAGAAAAACTTCTTCTTCCTCAAGAACTTCTTTTTTACAGACTTAAAAACTT